AGCGCCACCCACCTCACAGGGTGTCTGTTGTGGGGAGGGGAAGGGAAAGGAGTTTGTAAGCCGCTCTGAGACTCCAAGTGAAGGGCGGGTTATAAATCCAATCTCTTCTTCTTCTTCTTATCTGGATTGGTTTTATCTGCTGACTCTAGTTGATGGTTACCAGGGTTCTGTTGGCGGTTTTGTTTTATTGGGGCTGGATTACAACACGAGTTTTTAAAAAAGAAGCATGTTCACCTTTTTAGTAACTGTACACTGCCTTGGACACCCTTTAGTAGGGAAATTATCTATTAAAAATATTAAGTAGAAGCCGAGCCACTGGAACATGAAAGTGCTTTATACTGAATCAGACCCTCGGGCCATCAAGGTCAGTCTTGTCTACTCAGACGGGCAGCGGCTCTCCAGGGTCTCAGGCGGAGGTCTTTCACATCACTTGCTGCCTGGTCCTTTTAACTGGAGATGCCGGGGATGGAACCTGGGACCTCCTGCATGCCAAGCAGATGCTCTGCCGCTGAGCCACGGCCCCCTCTTGACAGCTCTCCAGGGTCTCAGGCTGAGGTCTTTCCCATCACCTCCTGCCTGGTCCTTTTAACTGGAGATGCCGAGGATTGAACCTGGGACCTTCTGCATGCCAAGCAAAGGCTCTTCCACTGAGCCACAGCCCCTCTTGACAGCTCTCCAGGGTCTCAGGCTGAGGTCTTTCCCATCACCTCTGCCTGGTCCTTTTAACTGGAGATGCCGAGGGTCGAACCTGGGACCTTCTGCATGCCAAGCAGATGCTCAGAAGGAAATACTACTTTACACAGAGAGTGACTAAAAATTGGAATTCTTTGCCAGAGGATGTAGTGATGGCCACAGGAATCAACAGCTTGAAAAGGGGATTAGACAGATTCATGGAGGAAAAGTCTATCAATGGCTACTGGCCATGGGGAATGAGGGGAACCTACATGTTCAGGCGCACTAATCTTCTGAGTCTCAGGGCCAGGAGGCAACATCAGGGGAAGGCCTCGGCCCCTATGCCCTGTCACTGACCAAAGGGCAGTTCTCAGGAGAACTCTCTCAGCCCCATCTACCTCCCAGGGTGTCTGTGGTGGGGAGGGGAAGGGAAAGGAGTTTGTCAGCCGCTCAGAGACTCTTTCAGGTAGTGAAGGGCGGGGAATAAATCTAATCTCTTCTTCTTCTTGGTGGTGGTCTCCCCTCCAAATAAGAACCAGGGTTGACCCCGATTAGTTTCCGATATCTGACGAGAGCAGACCTCTTTTACCGGTATCCCCCGGCTTCTTGCGTCTTCCCTTTCCCGTCTACATCTTCAGCCAGGCTCTCAGGAACAGTCCTGCCCACACCTGCTCTCAACTACACCCACCGCTGGGCTTTGTCTCCTGCTCTCTGGTCCTCGCCGACCTCTACACCAAGGCTCCCTCTAAGCTGTGGAGTCTTGTGAGCAAAAATTCTACCTTGTGAGCCACTGGCGTTAAAGCTGTGAGCGAGCCATTTGGCTACCGCATACATTAGTTTGCTCTGGAGCCATCCCTTCCTGAGCGAAGACAAAAATGTGGGAGCCGGAGGCTAAAAAACTGCGAGCTAGCTCACACTAACTCAGCTTAGAGGGACCACTGCTCTAGATCCACACAGTTCAGGCACAAGCACCCGGCCTCGGGCTCCTGTGCCAGCCCCATCCCTCCAGCTTGTACGTGTTCCACGGAGAACTTGGGTTGTACCTTTAAGAGCAAGAGAGTTTAATTCCGGGTATAAGCCTTTGTGTGCGTGCACGCTTCATCAGATATCTTATGAAGGCCTCGGCCTCTCTGCCCTGTATGTTGGCCCTCCAGAGGAACTGGCTGGCCACTGTGTGAGATGGGATGCTGGACTGGATGGACCCTCCCTGGTCTGATCCAGCAGGGCTCTTCTGATGCTCTACCACTGATCCATTATCCCTCTCCTCCAACGTGACAGAACCATGAAGGAGAAGCTGATGTCACTGGGGGGTGGGAGGGGTCTGCATGGGGCAGATCTCAACGGAGCCCTCCCCGTCCTTACTTTCGGCCTGCCGCCGCTGCTCTCCCCAGGGCTCTTTGCGGCCCTGTCGACGGCCACCGCTCCGTGCTCTTTGGCCCCGCGGAACAAATCCTCCACCAGTTCGTTGGGGCTCTTCTTCCTTGGGGGACCGACGATCTGCTGCCCGCTACGTTCTGAGCCTCCAGCATAAAACCTGCATAGAAGAGAATAGACCAGTATCACCTGACCTTTCCGAACCGTGGAACGGATTGCCCTGGCTGGGGTGTGTGTGTGTTGTGACCACAAGGACAGCATAAGCCTCCAAATGCGTCAGAGCGGCTACCATCACGGCACTCACAGAAGCATGGAATTAAAAAGTGGGAAGGGGCCTAAGGCCAATCCGGACCAACCCCCCTGCACCACGCAGGATGACCTAAAGCGTCTCTAACAAATAAATGCCCAGTCTCTGTGTGAACACCTCCAAGGAGGGAGAGACGACAACAGGAGGTAGAGAAGGAGGAGGAGAAGAGGAGGAGGAGGAGGAGGAAGAAGATGATGAGGAGGAGAAGCAAGAGAAGGAGAAGAGGAGGAAGAGAAGAAGAGGAGGATGAGAAGAAGAAGAGGAGGAGGAGGAGAAGAGGAGGAGGAGGAGGAGGAAGAAGATGATGAGGAGGAGAAGCAAGAGAAGGAGAAGAGGAGGAAGAGAAGAAGAGGAGGAGAAGGAGAATCCCTACACTTGGAGTCTCAGAGCGGCTTACAAACTCCTTTCCCTCCCCACAACAGACACCCTGGGAGGTAGGTGGGGCTGAGAGAGCTCTGACAGAAGCTGCTCTTTTTCAAGGACAGCTCTTGTCAGAACTATGGCTTGCCCAAGGTCACCCAGCAGGTGCAAGTGGAGGAGTGGGGAATCAAACCCGGTTCTCCCAGATTAGAGTCCACGCACTTAACCAC